CAGCCTTCAAATTGTATACAGTCAGAATTCTGGTTCCCTTTGTAATATTTTCTCCGTGGGCTGTGGGAACCAAATGCTTCATGAAATGATTAGTGGCGGAAATAAACACATAATAGAAACTAAAGGCCTGGGCTCTTTGCATAGTATCTTTACAGGAGACTACATTTTACCTACTAGTCTAACTCCAGCATGTCAATCTGTCAGTTTTCTTTTACCACCTGCCCTCAACTCCCCTTTCTCTGAGATGAAGTATGTGTGGGGATGATATAGGAAAAAACAACAGACTACAGATTATGTTATAGCCAGCATGCTTTAGACATAGGGTACGCACGTGTACCTCCTGCCTGTGCTTGGGCTGCTCTGACAATGCCCAAGGTTGTGATAATTCTTTGAGGATAGTCAGGGGCAGATGTTCCTAAATATTATTGAATTTTCTAGGTACATTTAAGGAAACTGAATGTTTGCTGATTTGAGTGATATCAAATTCTTTTACCTCTATAACTCATCAGTAAATTTTCTCTTTTGAATGATCTACTTTGGTTCAGATATGAAACTAGGACTTACGTGACAAGGCAGAAGTGCAAAGAGGAACTCTGGTTTCCTAATTGTACAGGTTGAGTATTCCTTATCCGAAATACTGGGACCAGAGTGTTTTGGATTTAGGATTTTTTAATATTTGCATTATACTGGTTGAGCATCCCAAATCCAAAAACCCCAAATCTGAAACGTTCCAGTGAGCATTTCCTTTAAGTGTCATGTTGGCACTCAAAAAGTTTCAGAGTTTGGAGCATTTCGGATTTTCGGATTAGTGATTCTTGACCTATATAACAAGTTATTGCCCTAGTTGTAGCTTTACTCACGTGTGCTCTTGCAGGAAGGGGCCTGAGAAAATCTTTTTGGAGACTGCTGGCCTAGCCAGTTGAACCTTTTTTTTTTTTTACTATCAAACAGAAAGAACTTTGTTTTTAAACTTCTTATGGAAATAATAAATGAACGAATGAATCTGACAAGAGTCAAAACAGCAAAAATTCAAAGAAAATTTCATTAAATATATTCAGAGATTAGGTATGAAGTTTTTAAAAACTTTCACTAAAAGGCACAGTTTTGCTCAGAAAAATTGACCATTGTTTACAAGTTTTTCTATTACTATATTTTTATGAAGTCAATTTTTTCAAAACTTTGGATATATATTCTTAGAGTCTATATTCTGATTGTTAATATCTTTGTAATATTTTACTTTGGTTTTCTGAGTGGATATTATAATATTAATTTTCTGGGCATGGTTATGTTAATTGGAGCCTACAGCATTAAAATGTTTTGGGAAAGATTTATTTTAATAACTTTTTCTGTGTCCATAAAAGATGAAGATCTTTATAAGTAAGATCTTTATGTGATCTAATTAAAACATTAATCTAGTTTGTTGAAGGTAGGTATCTACTTTGAAACCTCTAGGTTAAACTCAGAAAAATATTAGTCCCGTCAAATATAGACACATGGCAAAACTGCTAGAGAAACTCACTTACTTGGTTTGGATCTGTGCTCAAATGTTGCTTCCTCTGAGAGACCTCCCCCAGCCATCCTTCAGGTAAACTGCCTCACTCTCGTTGTTCTTCTCTATTTTCTTAACCAGCTTCTTCATTCTCTCTATATTTTTAATTGCATTTATCACTTGTAGCCTTTTGATTGTGTTCATTGCTGCATCATTGGCACTTAGAATAGTGCCTGGCACCATGAAAGATACTCCATAATAATTTGTTGATTGAATAAATGGTTCATTATTTGTCACCCCACTAGAATGTCAGTCTCATCGAAGTTGCCTGGCATGAGGTAGGCCTTCCAATATTTGTTTGAAAGAATGAAAGGAAAAAGTAGTGATCAAATTCAATTTTTATATTTATGCATACACATATATATTAATATTTTAATTTTGATTATTTGTTTAAATTGTACATAGATTTCTCATCCAGAAATAGATTCTTAGAAAAAGATGTGGTGTTCCGAGTAATAACATCTAGAACGTACAAAATCTGCTGCTGTCTTTTTTGCTAATGTGGATGGGCAGATTTATGTGTAGGGTTGCAGTTTTTTTTAAATGACTCAGCAATACCTGCTGTATTTTAATATAATGCCCATAGATGTCAAAGAGTGTGGTCATGTGACAAACTCATGGAATGGATTAGTATCTTGATTCTTTTCTCCTGTTTGCATCATTCTTATTGCTAGTATAAATTTCCATCAGTCTGTGTGCTATAATATACTGATTTCATACCTCAAAATGGAGAAATAAGGCTTCGTATTTTTATGAGAACATTTTATGAACTCTTTTTCACACTTAGTTTTGTTTTTTCCATTTGATCTTGTATTCTTGTGGTTTTATTTGGGAGCACAGTGACATACTTTGTACTTTGTTGAGTTCTTTTATCATTGCCTAACATCCTAATTGCTCATGTATGATGAACCCTTATGAAGCAGCATGGTACTGCTTCTGGTATTCCCAGCCTTTGGGAGGGAGGAGATGAAAATGAAGGTCAGAAAAACGAGAAGTGGATATGACATTAATTTTGGGCATCTTGAAGAGCTGAGTGTTAGCCTGGCCTTCCTGGATTGATTATGTCCATTAGATAGTCTATGCATCTGGAAAATGAAGATCCTTTTTCAAACTACATGGTGTCAGCTTCTGAATGTGCAGTTTCTTCCTTAGAAAAGGAAATTCTGCCTTTCTTTTTTTCTCCCCCAGTGATTTAGCAGAATTTTTCTATTTTCTTCAGGTAATTAAACCAGAGAGCAATGACAAAGAAACAGAAGCTGCCTATGAATCAGATCTCCCTGAGGAGCTCTGTGGACACCATCTCCCTCAGCAGTCCCTGAAAAGCTATCATGACAGTCCTGATGTCATTATAGAGGCTCAATTTGATGATAGTGACTTAGAAGATGGACATGGCAATACACAGAATTTGCTGGTTGATGGTGTAAAGAAGCTCTCAGTTGGTGTTCACGAAAAAGGTGAGTACTGGACTACTGTCTGACATTTTGTTTCAGTAAACTGATTGTTTTAAATATTGGAATTCTCTCTCTGCTACAGAATAAATCACACAAATACAATTGGTATGTTCCGGTTTCCATCCTGTTTCAGGTTTAGAAAAGGGGGATCTTTGACAGGCTTAATTGCTGCTGGTTAGGAGAGAGGGGACGAAAGTGCTGCCAGTGGTTTGTGTGGACAATGGTTGCTGTTGCCACATTCCTAATAGGCTTTGAGTTGTGTTAATAGTTAACCCTGAAATTTCCTGCAGTGAGCTCAATCACACCCTGTGGTTCATATGAGCAGAATTAAACTGGTCTTTAAGATCCTTATGAAAAAGTGCTTAATTTTGCCCTTAATTTTTGGCCTTGGTTTTGCTTTAGTTGAGTACCTTTTAAATGTATATCTGTCATTCGTGGTGGGCATGGATCACCCTAAATTTTATAAGCAGATTATCTTTAGAAAGTCTTTTGATTCTAAGCCTTTAAGAAGGCCAGTCTTATTGTCTCTGATTGAAATCTAAGCATGGGTCCTCTGGGTGCAGAAGAAAATCAGTTATAAACACATGAGCAAGGAGCTGTGACCAAGGTCCCTACCTGACCACATTCTAGGAAACTTAAGGGAAAGTAGCAATTACAATTTGAATATTTCAACATTTAGATTTCTAAGAAGTTCTAAGTAAAGAGAGTATGTTTTCTAGCCAAATTGAGTTTTATGGATACTATGAAATGGAAACTATTGAGCAATACTGACCTGG